GATATGACTGCATCAAAAAATCCTAATGAATCTACAAAATCTTACTACAAGTAATAGTGAGCTTAACAACGTCACAGTGTACAAGTTTAATATAAAAGAAATCAAATGTATTTTAATACTATAAATGACCATTTCAAAATTGAAATTTAAAAACTACTCTTTACAGTAGCATAAACGATCTACAAAATACTCGGATGCAAGCTTTAAAAAAAATGAGTGCAGGGGTAAGGGTTGTATCTCAGTGGTCAAGCATTTGCAGAGCATGCATGAGGCCCTGGGTTCAATTCCCAGCACCACCAAACAAATGAACAAATAAACAAACAAAAACCATGAGTGTGAGTTCTATACATGCAGAGGAGAAATCTTTAAATAATCAAACAGATGGACAGATACACTGTTCTCGTGAATTAAACAATTCAATATTGTTGTCAATTCTCTCTAAATTTATCTATAGATTTAATGCAATCTCAATCAAAATCCCCAGCAGATTTCTTGTAGAAATTGACAAATTAGTTTCAAACCACGTTGGAAACACAACAGACTTAGGATGGCCAAAACAACTTTAAAAGAAACAAATCCACAAGACTTACTGTAAAGCTACAACAATCAAAGAGATTGAGGTATTCATGTAATGCTAGATATCCTGATCAAAGGGACAGAATAAAGCCCAGAAATAGACCAACTTACAAAGGATGAAGGTGCCAAAGTATTCAATATGTAAAGAATAATGTTTTCTTCAAGTGGTAGTGGAACATTTGGACATCCATATGCAAAACTGATCCTCAAACCATCGCATAACATATACAAAAATTAACATGACACAAACTATAGATCTAAATGGAAGAGTCAGAACTATAAGACTTCTAAAACAAGATGCAAGAGAGAGACTCTTATTTTTTCCCTTTTGGGTGAGGGAAAGATTTCTTAAGTAGGGCAAAAGCAAAACTAAACATAAGAGCAACAAAATCTAACCTTCAAAAAAAATGAGTGATTGGAAATTTATCAACACATAATAATTCTGAAGTTTGAAAGATGTTTCTAAGAAATGATAAACCCTACACTGGTAGAAAATATGTATCTGATAAATGGCCTTATCCAGAATTTATAGAGAACTTTTCCAAGTCAATAAGACAGACAATCCAATTAGAAGTAGGAAAAATATTTGAACAGATACTTCATAAAACAAGGTACAAAAAATGGCTAACAAGCACATAGAATGAGATCATCATTAATCATGAAGGAAGTGCAAATTACAACCAGAAGGTGACACTGTTATATGCCCACTGGAATGGCTAAAATTAAAAGGACCGACAATATCAAGTGCTGTAGAGCATATGATGCAATCGGATTTCTCCTTCATTGCTGGTGGGAATACAAGTACAGAATAGTTCCTTTGGAAAGCAGTTTGGCAGTTCTCATAACATTAAACATATACATGGCATAAAACTCAGAAATTCCACTCCTGGGTATTTTCCCAAGGAAGGAGAAACATATGTTCTCACAAAAACCTGTATATAAATTTCCAGAGCAGGATTTATTTATAGCAGTCCCAAATTGGAAAGGACCCAAATATTCATCAACCAGTGAATGTCTGGATGTTGAATCTCCATGCTGTGCAATACTACTCAGCAATAAAGAGAGACAATCTACTGATACACGCAACATCATGGACAAATCTCAAAAGCACTGTGCTAAATTAGAAGAGTCAGACACAAAAGTCTGCATATTATGTGACTCCATTTATAAGACCTTCTAGAAAAGGCAAAATTATAGGGAAAGAAACAAAGCAGTTGTTCCCAAGGAAGTGGGGTAGAGGGAGAGGTTTGACTTCAAAGGGGCATGAGAAAAACTTGGGATGATGGAAATATTCTGTCTTCATTGTGGGTAGTGGTACAACTGTAAGCCCTTCTCAGAACTCATCCAACCATATATATTAAAATAAACATGACAAAAATAGGCATACTCAGTGAAGACTAAGTCTATGAGAAAAAAATCAAAACAATGGTTTTAATTATTTCATTGACACTCTTTATGACTTACTATAATACTGTATTTTCAGAATGAGCTGGTATGATGCATTGGTATAGAACATGTCTATAAATGTCAAGCCAACCTCAATTCAAGTCTTGCTCCTGCCATTTATTAGTAAAGGGACTTCATGCCAATGACTTCATTCATACTTCCTAGGATTATGGTGGGGAGCTAATGATTCATTTTAACCACTTCATGACTGGCTCATAATAAATATTCACCAAATGCCAGTTATTCAAAGAAACTTTAGAAATTGCCTCAGTGAGGAGACACACATACAAACAAATAAATGATAACATCACGTAGAAATAACAAATATATCAAGTGTAGGGTATAGTAATTGCACAAAATGAGAAATGTTTCACTGTGTTGAGGACAGTGAATTGCTTCAGGAAATCATGACCTTGATAAAACTGAAAAACAAATAGTGTTTTTCAGGCTCATTGGGGAGTGAAGGGCACAAAATGTCATGGTGTGCTTGAAGAATGATGAGCAATTGGCTATTTTTTTTGAGTGATGAAAGAAATGATTATAGAAGGGAGGAGTCAGAACAAGAAGAGTTTTGAATTCCAATTTAAGAAGATACTCGCACCCCATCATGCAGCCGAGCAACTGGGAACCTGCAAAGAGAGATAAATTAGACTTGCATTACTTTGATAACCCTAGAGACAAGAGATCAAAGCTAGGATGAGACTAGGAGACAAGAGATCTGTCAGAAGGCTTGCTAGAGGAATCCAGGTAGAGGATGGTGACATTTTGTATTTGGGCTGTGAGAATGGAAAGGTGAGAATTAACTCAGAAGATGTTTAGAATCTAATAATTGTGCATGAAGGAGAATGGGTGGCAGACTTTGTGTTTTGGTAGGTATGTGGGTGCTTGTCCCTTTGATAAGCAGAAAAAATATGTTTTTCTAGTGAAATGATGCATTTAGGTGGGTAGTGTTGATGGTTGAGGTGTCTGTGGACTTGTAGCTGGAGCTGCCCAGCAAGTAGAAAGATACATGAGCCTAGAGCTCAGTGTCAGAATTGGGTGGGGAGTTGTATATGTGGCAATTGAAGTCACAGATAAAAATGAGATTGTCCCAGAAAAAGCATATGGTGTGAGAACAAATCTCTGGGGAACAGCAACACTTGAGGAATAATGGGCATGGAAATAAGAGGACGATCAAGAGCAAGTGGCATCACAGAAATCAAAGACGGAGTTTCAAGTACAAATTATCACCAAGAATGTTATATGCAGGAGCAATGTCAAGGAACACAAAGACTGAGAAGTATCTGAAGGATTTGAGTAGTTTGAGGGCCTGGAAAAAAACTGATCATTATAGTCTGAAGTGTGAATGGGAAGTTGAAGATGCAGAAGTACCTAGCAACCTATTTTTTTGGTAAAGTAATGATCAGAAGGAGAAAAAGAATGATAGACGGGTAGCTAGAAGGATCTGAGATTGCTATGGTTTGGATAAGTGTCCCACAAAGGTCTGTGTGTTAAAGGCTTGGTGCCACTATTGGGAGGTGCTGTGGAAGCAGGGTCTAAAGGGAGGCCTTATGTAATTGGGAGTGTGTCCTCAAAAAGGACTCTGGGACCCCAGCCCCTTGCTGTCTGGTTCTTCTACTTTCTAGCTCATGAGATGTGCATTTTGCTCTGCCATTGCTCCTGCCATGATGTGCCACCCTGGTCAGAGTCCCTAAAACAAGGCCACTCAATCTTAGACTGGAATATCCAGAACTAGGAGCCAAAATAAGTCTTCTTTTTATAGGTCAATTGCCTCTGGTTTTTAATTATAGTAACAGAAAACTGATCACCACCAGGATCAAAGGGAGTTGTTTTTTTGTTTGTTTGTTTGTTTTGTAAGGCACTGGAGAGACTTAACTATATTTATAAATTGATGAGGAATGAGGAAACAAGCTGGAAAAGAAAAATAGAAGACTGAATATACAAAAGGGTATTACTCAAAGTCCAACCAGAAGGCAGAAGTCACACCAGATACTTCACAATAAAAAATTTAATATGAAGAACTGTTAGGTATAGATGACACTGTCCAGTAATTTAAAAGGTGGGAAGGGAACATAAAAACATATCAACGTAGCAATGCTGAGGGACTAATGGGGGCAGGAGTTGCAAAATGTAAAGAAGGAAAGATTTTTTTGTTAAAGGCAAAGTAAGAGTGGGGCTGGAATTGTAGTTCAGCAGTAGAGTGTTTGCCTAGCACGTGTGAGGCCCTGGGTTTGATTCTCAGCACGGCATAAAAGTAAGTAAATAAAAATAAAGATCCATCAACAACTAAAAAAAAGTATTTTAAAGAAAGTAAATGCAATGTAAGAGTATTTTATAAAGATGGCTTAATTAAATAAAAATGAAAGGATATTCTGAGAGTTGCACATACCTGGCAAAGAGTGGATGCTTAATAAATGAAATGATGAGGGAATAGAATGATCAAAAAATCAATAGGAGAAAAGTATGGAAAAACAGAAGGGAAGAGAAGTTTTGGCTGGGACTGGAGTGGTAGAGAATGCTTGGAATCTACAAGGTAGAACAGGAATGCAGCAGGCAACCTTATAGGGGGAAAGCTTTACCTGGGCGATTGGGAAGAACGACAGTAAGGGGAGAAAGGTGGGTAGGAGGAGGTTTTTAAGAGTCTGGTTCGTTCCGTGGGAGAGGATTGGATAGCTTCGTGCACAGAAAGTTGGCAATGAAGGTCCGCAACCTCGTGAAGCCCCCTCAGAAGGTGGCGATTTGGTGTCTTTTGTACAGATTCCGGCTGAGGCTTGAAGATGAGAGAATGCAATAGCATCTGCTTATAAGGCTCAGCAGCTAGCTCCCCATTTACAGTTTTTACCTGACTCAACAAGGAGAGAGGAGAATTCCCGTGGGTTTTTTTTTTTTCCTTAACATTTTGAAAAGGTCTTTCAATTTTTTTTTTTAATTTGTTCTAATTAATGCATTCCTGATTTTTACTCTGGCCCAAAACATGGACTCGCGGAACGGAGGACGCACTTGGCTCCTTGGCGACTGAAAGCTGCCCAGGGCTGGGCAAGGGGGGCAACTGGGAAGCACAGAGCTTGCTCCCTGGCGGAAGCGCGCAGGCGCAGAATGGAGTCACCTAGCAACCCAGGGACAACTGTGGACCCGGAGGTGCGCCTGTATCCGCAGGTGCGGTTTACTGGTTCTGAGCAAAGGCTGTTCGGCGGAACCTCCCTGCAGGTACACCTGCCTCTGGGGATTGGAGAGGCGCAGAGCAGAGCCCACTGCAAAATTTGGGGAAGGAGAAAGTGCCATTCGGATGGGAACTGCTGGGACAACTGAGGGAACACCTTAGAGGTGGTCGCTTCCCTGCAGTGTTAGAAGGGCTAAGGATGGGTTTCCTAAGCGTCAAGCCCACCTCACCTTTAAAAGGTGACAAAATCGAGGTCCCCAGAGGGAATCTGAAGGTCTAAGATGACCAGAGAAGCGGGGCCCACTTGCTTTAGCGCCCCTCTCCTCTTTAAGTCTGGGCAAAACGAACCTCAGCCTTAGAAAAGATTTGAGATAGTAGGAGAAATACAAATGATCAATAAACTCATAAAAAGCAACGTGGCTCTAGAAGAGGCAGATTTAAAGCAGACTTGTTTTCCTACCCAATATCCAGAATTTGGTACCTTTTCACACAGTGATTTTGCTGCTGGGATTTGTCTTCAAGGAACAGTTGGAGATGTGGGTGGAAATTTTAAGAGATGTGCATTGCAGCTTTGTACATAATTTCAGAGGATTGAAAATAAGAGACTAGCTAGATAAATAATGGACTTTGAAATATTATTTCAATGGCATGCTACATGAATCTGTTGTAGATGATTTTAGTGATAAATAAAGACTAAAATTTCATGAACTTACCTGAAATTTAAGAATTTAATAGGAAAATGGTTCCAGGAATGGAAAGTGTAAATAGGGAATAGAAATCCAGTTAGAATCACGAGCTCACTATAGAAAACACAGAAAAAGAAACTATGTTGAAATAATACTAATCTCCCTGACTGTATCTTAGGGTGGTTTTTATTTTATTCTTTGTCTCATTCTATGTTTTCCAAATTCTCTACAATGAAATGGATTAGAGATATCTCTTGTATAGTCCCATATCAGCTGTTTATTTCCCCACTAACTACCATACCCAATGTGGTATTAAAATACAGATGCTTCTAATTTCATATTATTGCCTAAAACTGGCTCTATCAAATGCAGTTATGTATGCTTAGGTTATTTTAGCTTCTGCTCTTTGTTATGCAATTGCTACAAATACTATTAGTATTATATGTTTCTGAGTGAAAATCATATGATTTAAAGCAACTTTATGCAGGTATAATTTAATTGCTTCTTGAATGTTATTCATAGGAATAATATTCTTTTATAAGCCAGAGGCTGCTATATTTTGGAATTATAAAGAGCTATTAATTCACTTTTTGTTCCTAGAGATTGATAGCTCTTCATTTGTCCATAATGGGAATAGTTCATGTGTCCACCTGAAATATTATAGGCACAAGGTCTAGGGCCAACATACTTTTCAAGCACCTAGAAAAGATATAGAGATTTGAAAAAAAAATATTGGCTCTAATTTATGAAAAAAAACTAAGAAACTAAATTTTTATTAATATTAAATTTTCATTACATCTAAAACCAATTTTCTCATTTTGCAAGAATTTCCACATATACATACTAATTGCTGAGTAATTTCAACAGCAAAATTTTTGATGAAAATTGCATTTAATGGAGGATGTGAGTTCACTTTGGTATTTTAAATACTGGATATAGTGTAAGGTAGCACATTACAAAATAAATCTTCCAGTCCCTCAAAGATCTTACACTTTATGTGACCTAAAGTTAGTGACCAGGAATAAACATCTTTCAGAGGTCTCTATGATAGTTACCATGAAAGTGTGGCTTTTTAAAGTGTTTGATAAATTCTCCTCAGTGTTTCCAACACTAGAAGTTGCTATTGGCCTTTTATAAGCACTTTGAACTAACCTTGACACTGTAGATTCTCTCCAAGAATTTCCTGTTTCCCAAGGTTTCTTTTGGAGACTATGGAAATTTCTGTATAGCTAGTCCACACCATCCAAGACTGCCAACATAACCCAAAAACTCTCATTGAAGAAAACTAGGGAGATTGGGTCACTCTAATAGGCACCAACATCTTGGGAGGCTCTAAACCCAGTTGAGTTACACCTCTGTGGTGTGTTAACTATATATGTATATTATTCTTTTGACTTTTTTCCACACAGCCTTGGGCATACAAGGGCAGGAAGAAAAGAGTCGTATAAGGAACAGCCCTAACTTCTTCAGATTCTCAATTGTTTTTTAATTGAGCTACAGATTATATTAAACTTTTTATAATCTAGGAAAATAACACAAATGTTGATTCAGATGCAGTAGACCTTGTATACCATTCATGAAATCGTTATTCCCAAGAAAAGTAGAGCTAATCATTTTTATAGATATTGAATTCCTAATATATACTAGACATTGTTGTAGGTGCTTAGGAGAGATGAGTGCCAGAAAATAGACAAACATCCCTGCTTTGTAACAGTTTTTCCGATCTCAAAAGTAACTTGGATTTAGTCTCTCAAGCAGGTAAGCTATAAACATGGGAAAGCATTTTCTGTTATGTGAGCAGAAGTTATGTCACTAATATATTCACCTCCTATCTAACCTGGAAACCACAACTTATGCTCAACAATCTTAGCAATAAGTTCCTTTAAAATTGTAGTGTTTAGAATAGAGATACTGGTGACATGTTCATATGTGTGCAATAATTTCCTACAGGTATTGCGATTTCTTTTATTAGGTAACAATGTAAAGTAGAAAGTAAACCCCCTCCAAGAACATGGGTTACTGAGAGATTTGCACACATTCATAAAGCAGAAGTGTCACTTTATAAAGCATTTTTTTTGCATCTTTTTCCAGGATGGGTAAAAAGATAAAAAAGGAAGTAGAACCTCCTCCTAAAGATGTGGTAAGTTTCTGATTTGAATACTAGTAGCTTTAACCACCAGTTTTAAAAATAAATTGTTCGGTTTGGCATGTACCAGTACATACATGAATACATGGTGGCAGAAGTCCAAAGTCTGACTAATGATAAGATTAGTCAGAGAAATCTAACATTAGATAAACAAACATCTACAACATTGTCATTATATAATTAGCACAATTAAGGAGTAATTGTTAGTTTTTCCAGTATGTGGATGGCATGTTTATAGCCTTGTTAATGAATAAATAGTTTTAATTCATTCTTTTAAATACTTCAGGGTTACATTTGCCAGTCTTTCATTAATGTGAATTACCCAAGTGAATTTTCGAAAATTCACTTTAGAAGTCATGCTATAGCTCTAAGACATGTGTAAAGGATTGTCTGTGGATAACCTTGGACATGAGAAGTCCTGTATTTTCTAGTTCTAACAAAAGAGTCTCCTGGAATAATTCCCCACCACAGTAGGCCCTTCTTTCTCTTAATAGCACAATTTTATTTGCTCCCTTTAATCAATTGCTAAAAGATTGTGTTAAAAACAGAAAGTGACCTTTGACAACTTTTGGTTTAGAAACATTTCAAAACAGATGTTTGTTGTGATTTTCTTCAGATGGGATCTGAATAGAAAAGAAATGAAGATAGTGCCCAGACTCGGAGACTTTTAAATTTTGCAAGAAACTTTGAGCTTCCTACAGAAACTTCCCCTCCAGAATGGAGCATTGTGGTTAAGACCAAAAGCTTTGTCCCAGCTTGGCCTCTCATGAGCTGTGTTATTTTGGCCACTTTGCCAAAATTGGCCAAGTTATTTCAGTATTTTCTTATCTCTTACATGAGAATTGTACTCTCAAACTCATTTGGATCGTTGTATGAATTAAACCAAAATGAATTACATAAAATTCTGGGTGCCTAGGAGCTAGCATTCAGTAAATAAGATCTATTATGGGAATCCCCTGGATTGTGCTTTATACACACACACACACACACACATCTTTCAGAGGTCTCTATGATAGTTACCATGAAAGTGTGGCTTTTTAAAGTGTTTGATAAATTCTCCTCAGTGTTTCCAACACTAGAAGTTGCTATTGGCCTTTTATACACACACACAAACACACACACCCTATCAACATAGGTGTGATACTTCAACAGAGGAACAAAAACCATAGAAGCACCTGTCTGCTTCAGGCCAGGAAGCCTTTGCAGACGCGATCACTGTGGTCGCGTGATGTCATTTCATTCTGGCTGCTTTCCTTTGGACACACTCCTAAAACGTGGCAGATCCTATTTACTCCGTGCGTCCTAGGTTTGCATTACCCCGCTTTTTATTGCCAAATAGCATTATTGGCATCTTAGCAGAAAGTCGACTCAGGAACATAGCTCTTGGCAAGAAACACACTCTGATTAGAATAAACAATAGATAAATTTGTCTTAATACCCTTTCTATAATTTCATAATGTATTGCTGGGATTGTTCTTTCTACTCCAGTCTTTGGGGATACAGTGGAGGACTAAAGAAATTCAATCTTCCTTCCTGGGTTCCCAACATCCTTGAGGTAGCCAAAGACACCTGTGACAATTACCAGTGGTCCCTGACTATTTATTGCCTATTCCAAGGGCTTTCCATCCTTCTCCTACTCTGACTTTGTGTTAACAAAGCTGAGAGAGTTGCATGAAAATATCTAATCCCTTTTCTTCCTTATAAATTCAAATACTTCAAAACAGGTATCCTAACCCAGAACTTGTTTCAAAGTCTGCCTCTTCACAGTCTATGAAAGTTCTGTTCTACAAACTGTAAATGAAAACCAGATTTAAAAGAGGAATATACAAATGCATAAGAAAATAAACTAATAAACTAACAAACTAATAAACTAATGGTAATCTGTTCACCATATATTTCCTGAGCATTGTTTCCAATGATTTTAACTTTTAATTAGCATTTTGTCTACTGCTTAAAATGGGTAATAGAGAGAACAAGGGTATTTGGAGATATGATTAGAACAAGACAGTTCCTTGGTTTTCATAATTTTCTCATTGTTCATAACATTCATTAATATACACATATGTGGTTTCTGGATCTACACTTCCTTCTCATGAAAGGGACACCAGCTAAGAAGTTGCCTAGATATGGAGAAGATACTGTTTGAATGACCAACACGGGACGTTCTGCCTTCCCAAATCACTTTCATGTTGGGCTGAAAGGTTGTTTGTGATGCTTTAATAAAAGAAAAGTTCCTGTGGAATGATTGCACAAAAGAATCCCTAATATAAAGGATTCTACAAAGCATTCTTTAGTATAAAGCAAGATATTCGGTGACTAAGAGCATAGATTCTGGAGTTACACTGCTTAAGTTTAATCCTCATTCCACCCACCTTCTTCCCACTTCGGGCAAGTTTCCTACCCTCTGTGTACCACAGTGAGGATGGAATGCTACCTACTTCATTGGACTACCCAGTGAAGATCAGATAAGAATAAGGTACTTAGAACAGTGCCTAACACTAGGTAAGAATTTAGCAAATGTTGTTGATAGTAAAGATGTAGTTGAGGGTGCTGTTCCTCATTCTGCAGAACAGACGAGTTTGTATCAACTGTCCAAGCAGGCAGGGATATCAGATGTGGGAAGCCAGTTGGCCATGAATGCTCCCAGGAGCCTGGTGTTCGGCCACCATGATTCATGGTCAGGCCTTTTTGAGTTTGCAAGGGTGGAAATTGTGTTCTCTCAATATTTCAGAGGTGACTGAGCATCAGTGAATAAACCTACAGTATCTTAAGTTCTCATTAGACTGACACCTGGCCCTAAAATCTTAAGGATTAAGGATCAAGTTACCTGAACATTTGTGTTAATGGATCAGCACTTTCTAGCATGGTGATTATCAAATCAAAGCAACAGAAAATAATAGAACATGTTCCCCCACTTGGGCTCTAAATCCATTTCCTGGTAAGAGTGGGTTGTCTCCTGGGGAATTGCTTTTCCCAGACCTTCATCATCAGTCTCAGAACTTAACCTTTAATCATTTGTCATAGGCTGATAGCACTGCCACTTTTTGTTTTTTAACAAAGGACCAAAGGGAGTTATTTTCTGATCTTTCTCCCTCATCACAGATAGACAAAAACACCATGAATTAATTAAAAAGAATCAACTCATAAACATACACATAAATAATAATACACATAAATGATATACACGTGTGGTTCATTATCAGTTTGCTTTCTTTGCTCTAAAAGTTTGCTGCTTTTATTTAGGTTGTAAAGTAAACTAAAGGCAAATTCAGCTATATTTATTTTAACCGTTGGATATTTTAGCAGATTGCTACCAATGTCTAGATTTCTCTACTAAAAGTTCATATTAGATGAGTGCAACTTACTTCCGGCTGTCTGTCTGGTTCTGTCCTAGGCAACTGGATCCTCATGATCTGAGACCACTGATGTGGTAAACACATTCCATTAAAAATCAAAAGAGCCTTTTATTTTCACATATTGCCACCATAAAAGTCACTCGACTCTCATGATCTATCTGTTTCCACTGAGCTCAACTTAATAGCTTTGTACTCTTTTCAGCCTTGGCTGTATGATACAGTAATCATTAGCTATATGTAGTTATTTTAATTTAAGTCTATAACAATTAAAATTAACAACCAAAAAGTGATTAAGAATTCAGTTCCTCAGTCTCATTGGCCACATTTAAATTGCTCAAGAGCCACACATGACCTGTGAATGGCATATTGAACAACACGAAATCGAAACATTTCCATCAGTGAAGTTTCATGGACACCATCATTCTTGACAAGTCTTATTTCTTTAACAGAGATATAAAATGTCTTTATGAGTCTCTGGCCTCTCCAACTGACGGGGCTTAAAATGCAAAGCTTAGCCAAAAATGCTTCCCCTTTCTTCGATTCTTTCTGTAAATAATTTTGTTTCGTCATTTATTTTGTACAGAGCGCGAAATTATAATTTCACAACAAGCTTGTTGGTGACTGCAGCTTCCTCATGGGAAAGCAGATGGGACGTGTAATTACAGCACAGTATTATTTATTTAGTCATGTGGCATTCTGTTATAGCTATCATTTTATTCTCAGTGCCTTTTTAAATAAAAAATTACTATAATGCTGTAGGCACCGTAGGAGAAACAAATGCCATGCCAAGTATCTCCATTCTCTGCCAAACACTGGTATTTCTTCTGCTTTGACAGCTCTTTGATTGTAATTCTCATGGTCTCTATCTTCCCTTTAAGCTTCTCATACCCTAAATTGCCTTCTTAATGATGTCCGGAAGATACGGCAAAATACTGGAGTGTTTTCTAAATCATTCAGACAGATTAAATGATATTTACTCTAGTTTTTGTTTAAATGTATTTTCATGTATTCTACTCCTTTAAGAACTGTAGTCACTCTATGCAGATCACAGCATGGCCATGCTTAATCATAGATTTAGTCACATGTTTATTTAAAAATATCAAAGTATTTTTAAATAGGCCCTAGGTCAAGGCAGACAACAGGCAGGCCTGCAGTGCCAAGTACTCAGGGAGCTAAGTCAGGAGGATTGCCTGAGTCGGAAAATTTAACACTATCCTAGGAGACATAGAAAAACCCCAACTCAAAAAGAATTCTTTTTTTTTGAACAATTACTTGGGAGACTGAAACAGGAGGATCACAAGTTTCAGGCCAGCCTTGGCAACTTAGCAAGATCCTGTCTCGAAATGAAAAATTCTGTAGAAGCAGGGGATGTAATTGAGTGGTACAGTGCCCCTGGGTTCCATCTCTGGTACCACACAATAAGCAAACAAACAGACTTAGAAAGTGAAAGTTCTCAAATGGAAGGAAAATCTGTTCTGAATGCAGGGTCCAGTGACCAGCTGGAACATTGGGGAAGCTGCTCTGAGTAGGAAAGGCTGTCTAAGGAATTGGTGGACCATCAGGGAAATGTAGGAATAGGATGAAAATGGAGATCCTTTCCCCACAAAAATGCACTGCAAACCTCCTTTTGCACAGATGCAGTACAAAAAGAAGCCCATCAATGGCTCCATGAACTCAGATTTAGGTTTCCTGACAACAGATGGCAGTACCCAGTTAAAGCACTTTAAGACCACACGTATAAACAGTTTCCAGGGGTCCTTTAATACATTCCTTCACAATCATGTGTTAAGTACTTCCATTTCTGCTGAGAGCCATAGTCAAGTAGGAATGACGCATGGCAATTTCCTTGTCAGCCTACCCAATGTTGCTTAGAGGGAGGACTCTCCATTGTGGAAATGGGCTTGCCTTGGACCCAGGTCATTTGCAGTGACATTGCATGAATGTTTGAGAAAGGTGACCCTGCTCAAGGACCAGGGTGGATCCGGGTTTAGGGTGGATCTGGGTTTAGGGTGGGTCCCTGCTGGGAATAGGGCGGTTCCAGGTTTAAGGTGGATCTTGCTGGGAATAGGGTGTATCCTGCTGCCTCAGGCGCCCGCTCCTTGAGTTCCTGTTGAGTTCTCCCGAGATTCAGAGAGTATTTGGTATGCAGAGCCTGGTGGAGTGTGTGGATTTTCCCCAGAACGTGCGTGTAGAGTGCTGGTGACAGTTTGGGAATAAAGAGTTGCTGCTTGAATGAATCTACAAGGGTTTTGTGGTGGCTCGGTTATTTTGTGTCCAGCCAGACTGCGGCAATATTCCAGTACTGTTCTTTGGTAATGCAGATAGATAAATACTAACATGGTCCTTTGCCTGAAGAAATTCCTTCACTAATTGGGCAAATATTGAGAGCATACCATTGCAAATGTTCTATATCTTGAGCATAAAGATGGAAACAAAACAAAGTTCAGCTCCAAGGCAACTGTATTCTAGTGAGAGAAGCAGTCACTTAACCATATAACTCAGGAAGTAATGATATCAATAAAGAAAAATAAAGTGGGATGTGAGATAGTGAGTGATGGGACTACTAGGAACAGGATCTAGGTCAGGCAGAGTTCCTAGTGGGGTCACATTTGAAAAAGACTTAAATGAAATGAGGGACTATGCTGTGCGCATATCTGAGGGGAGAACCATAGCCAGAAAACAATAACCAAAGCTTTACATGTGCTTAAGGAATGCCAAGGAAGTTGGGGTAGCTAGAGATTAGTAATCAAGGAGTAGGAGCTGGGCCACAAAGATGGTGGGAGCTGAGTGATCACAAAGAGCCTTTTAGAAAGATGAATTTTTTTTTCTAATGTACAAAAAGTAGAATTCACTGGAAAGTTTCAGGGAGAAGAGTAGTGATGTCTGGTTTATTTTTAAAACAAAAAAGAATATCAATCTATCTACATTGTGGAAGAAGGGTGAAAACCAGAAGGCCTATCTGGAGCCCATTTCCAAAGCACCATTAAGATATCTTGGCAGTCAGGACCAAGAGATGACAGTGAAGGAGGAGAGAAGTGAGGATATATACTGAAAGTGATGCTGAGAGGATTTACTGATAGATTATACCCATAGTGTGGGAAGGAGAGGAGTTGAATGATTTTTCAAGATTTGGGGCCTTGGCAACTGAGTGGATGATGATACAACATACTAAATAGACAAGAAGTCCAAGAAGCAATGCAGTTGGTATTATGTGCTGTTACAGAGAAGTTCAGAAGAATGTAGCTGTGATAAAATAAAAAGAAAGTTCAAGGATTTTTCACATCCAAACCATAATGAAGAAAAACAATCAACATTTGTCCAGAAAACTGCAGGCTTGACAATGAAATAAACCATAATCTTCTGTAGTCTTAAATATTCTTTTAATCCTTTAGAAATGAAATTAAACTATCAAGAAGTGGTAGGTGACATAGTGATCACTAATGGTGTCCCCAGAGAGAGCTATATAGGTGATTCAATAAGGGGGAAAGTCAGATTGGATTGGGCAGCCAGGTGTGAGAGTGAAAAAATGGAGAAAAATACATAGTTTGTAAGGTTTTTGGCTGTGAAAGGGAAGGAAAAGTAGGATGGTATATGGAGGATGATTCATATCTAAGGAAAGTTTGTTTTTGTTCTAATAAGAGCTTTGAGAAATTAAGAGTTCTGAAAGACTAAGGTGCCTGCAGTTTGCAGGACAGGGTACCATAAAGGAGGGAAGAACATAGAGAAATATCTCCTGAAATCTGGTTAATGGTCCTCGTGGGTCTTTGAATTTTAAGCTTTACAAGGGGGAACTACACATGGCAAGGAACATGCACAAACAACTACCAGGAAGCTGTCAACTGAATAATTTTTAAAGTTCAGACAGGTCCAGGAAACAATGCAATTTTGACCAGAAAGAGTAAAAAGCCTTATTGAACACTTGAGGCATCATCAGATAGAGTCTCAAAGAGGATCATGCCTTAGTAGTAGCATGACTAAACTAGTTCTATAGTAAAAGGCTCCATAGGGCTTCCATAATAAAGCTAAAAACAGGCCTTAAATAGATCTAGCTGATCCATAGAACAAAATTCAATATATTTTAAGAGATGATTCCTCTCTCCTTGCTACCATAAAAAAAATCTATACACTCAACTACATAACTTTCACAATGTAAGTTTCCAACAGAAAATGATTAGATATGCAAAAAAGGAAAATATGACCCATAACCAGTAAAACAGTCAATCAATAAGCCACTAGAGGAGATAAAATAGGACACTAAATATATATATATATGTGTGTGTGTGTGTGTGTGTATTATTCAAGAGAAGAAAGGAACAGAGGAGCAGGAAACAAATGGGGCAAAGTGAAAACAAATAGCAAGATGATCAATTAAAAGTTCAACTATATCAATAATTATACTAAATATAAATGACCTAATATTCCAATAAAAAGTGAGAGATTGTCAAATGAGTAAAAAGCAAGACCTGGGAAACTCCTTTAAACATAAAGATGCATATAGATTAAAATTTAAAGCATAGAAAAAGAAACATACATGCTTCCCTATATTCCCTAATTATAAGGAATCTAGGGTGACTGTGTTACCATCAGACAACAATTGCAGGACAAAGAATATTACCAAAGAAAAAGATGAAAATATTATAATGATAAAATTTTTATTTAATTAACTGATTAGCTTATTATTTATTTATTTTTGGTACTGGGTATTGAACCCAGGGGTGCTTAACCACTGAGCCACATTCCCAGCCCTTTTTATTTTTTATTTGAGACAAGGTCTCGCTAAGTTTTGTAGGGTCTTGCTAAATTGCTGAGGCTGGCTTTGAATTTATAATCCTCCTGTCTCAGCCTCCTAAGCTCCTGGGATTACAGGTATATGCCAGCAGCCCTGCTTATGTGATTTTTAAAGCTCATATGTGAACCTTATATTTTTCTCTTTGCATTTCAGTTTGATCCATTAACAATCGAAAGCAAAAAAGCAGCAACCGTGGTGTTAATGCTTAATTCTCCTGAAGAAGAAATTTTGGCTAAAGCATGTGAAGCCATTTATAAATTTGCTTTAAAAGGTTTGGATTTTTTCAGTTTATCTTTCTACTTCATTAGTTACTTAAAATATTTACTACATAATGGGCACTTTTCTCCCTAATCTTTCACTTCCCTTCCTATTAGATGAATTCTTCCTGACAGCTGGAATCTCATTTAATGTACCCCTGAAAGCAGTGTTTCTCCCTAAGTGCCTACCATAATTCTAAGGGGTAAGTTAGTCACTGGATAGAATAGTCATTTGGAAGGTTTTATTGTTGTTTTAAAACTTGTAAAGTCCGGAGAATTAAGGAAATTGAAAAAAAAAATGCAAAAATGCCACAGTACTTAACAGAGCCCTAGTGGTTAGAGCTGGAAAATAAAATAGTGTTGGATTATAACCCAAAGTAAAATAAAATGAACATCCCTAAGTCCATACTGATATACATAAGTGATTAAATGGATGGATAAATAAAGGAAGGAAGGAAGGAAGTAAAAACAAATCTCCCATGAAGAAGAATTCCAAGAGCTTACATGGATACTCTGCCCTCAAATAGGTGAAATATAATTTTCCACTTTTGATGGTTTGGTCACACATAGTGACTTCTTCCCAAAGAGTGTCATGTAGAAACAGAGAAAAAAGAACAAATTTACAACAAAGAAACCTGACAAACACTATCCCAGCTAAGTGATCAAAATCTATATCAATAGTGATGTCAGGTTGACAGTATGCACTGTTGGTATCACGCGATGAAAGTGGCCTCTTCTCTTTATGGTATTTCTCCCTAAAACCCATAAACTCAGTCTAATCATGATTTTAAAAAATCAGACAAGGGCTGGGTCTGGTCCTCAGTGGTAGCACTGGGTTCCATTCTCAGCACCACATATAAATATATAAAATAATAAAGGTCTATCAACAACTAAAAAAATATTGAAAAAAAAATAAGACCAATCCCAATTCAGGGATATTCTACAAAATACTAACCAGTACTTCTCAAAATGGTCATGGCCATTGAAAACAGGAAAGTCTGAGAACCTCTCACAGCCAAGAGGAGCCAAGGAGACCTGGTCACTAACTGTCATGCAGAAATTCAATAAGATTCTGAAACAGAAGAAAGATATTAGGTTAAAAACCAAGGAAACCAAAGTCAGGCATGGTGACACACTCCTGCAATCCCAGCAATTCGGGAGGCTGAGGCAGGTGGATTGCAAATTAGAGGCCAGTCTGGGCCATTTAGTGACACCCTGTCTCAAAAAATATAGAAGGCTGGGGATATAATTCAGTGTTAGAGTACTCATGGGTTTAAGCCCTAGTGCTGCAAAATAATAATATTTTTTTTAAGTTAGAAGGGGTTGGGGATGTAGCTCAGTGGTAGAGCACTTGTCTAGCATGTGTGAGGTCCGGGGTTCAATCCCCAGTAGTGTTAAAAAAAAAAACACAAAACACCACCACCAACAACAACAACAAAATAAAGGAAACCCCCAAAGCCTATGGGGATATTAGTAATAGTGTAGCAATATTGGTTCATTAATTGTAAGAAGCATACCATCATACTAACATCAAATGTTAATAAAAGAGGAAGTGGGTCTATGATATGTGGAAGCTCTCTGTACCATCTTTGCAATTTTTCTGTAAAGCTAAATTATTGTAAAAAATAAAGTTCATTTTAAAATTATAAAGACCAAAAATCAGACTCTATCAAAGGATCTATTCATAGAGGATTTATAAATATACAAAATAGTTATATTTTAGTTAATTCCAAATGATGATAAAAATTGGACTTTTATTAAATTATATGACATTTCAATTGAGAATATTTGAAGAGTTTAGCATAGCTTGGTATTTTCAACAAAACATTTCAAATCAAGATGAGAACAATTTGATTTTAAAGAAATGATGCTTTAAACACTGGGGACTTGGATAAAAGAACAACAAATTGCTCAGTTCGCAAGTTGCATAGTACTCACCTTGCTTTGTGATGACAGAGAATCCAGACAAAACCCAGGGTGGTTGTGGAAGGTATGGTTTGTGGGTAGGTTGTATAGAATTGAGTTCAAACTTCAAGGAGTTATTGGACTACGTGTCTATGGCAGGGTGCATCCCACTCAGCCTTAGAATCATTTTAGGTCTTCTGGCTAATTAGGTCACATGTACCTAATTATATTATATCACTTTTTGTATCATATGTGGTAAAAAAAAAAAAAAAAGGCATGTATTTCGTGTGAAATCAATACAAAAATATCTGGTCTGTTACTTCATTCTGGCAGTATTTTCTGAAAAAAAAAAATTTAAGAAAAGTGATGGGATTTTTCCTTCTGGCCAAGATGGAGTAAAGGACCAAATTTATCTATCCTACTGCATGTGGAACAACCAAGAAAACAGACAAAATGTATCAGTTGGCAAGACATTGACCATCAGACAAGGGCAGTAACCACTGAGGGACGGGAAGCACAGGAAATATGTCCTATGATTGCCCCAACTTGTTGACTTCAGAGTTTCCTGGCCACAGAACAGAAAGGGTAAACCTGGTGGACTCTGAGTTGAGAAGTCACCTAAGAGTCCAGGGAGACAAAGGCACCCAGAATTTTCTGGACCAAGTAGCAGAGAAGTGAGTTGCACAAAGAAAGAACGCAGGAGGCCTGTTAACTACTATTCAAGTACTCATGGAGTACTGACTGAGCAATGTGTGTGCTTGTGAGGGAACTACTTACTTAGAGACTCCCAAAACTATGGAAGTAACAGGGGCCTGGTGTTCACACAGGCTAGAGTACCTGTTCCCATCAGCCAGACTGAAAAACCTCAAGATTCATGGAGCATTATGTAGAATACACAGAGTCACACCTTAGTAGGTGAAACAACTAGTCCTACATTGAGAACTGTTCTGTTAACCACCTAACAAATGTTAAAAGCAAGACCTGAAAGGATTAAACTGCTTATGAGTAACTTAATTGTGCTCCCAAATTTCAAGAACACAGAAGTATTCATTGCTTAACAAAATAGAATTCAATGCACTAATTAAAAAAAAAAACACCAGGCATGAAAAGAAACAGAAAAAATTTATAATAAGGATATAAATCAAGCAGTAAATAAAAACTGACTCATATTAGAATTAGCAGAGAAAACATTAAAAGATTAATTACATCTCTATTCCATATGTTGAGAGTAAGTAGAAACATGGAACATATAAAACAGATCCAAATATAACTTGAAGAGATGAAAACTTCCGTGTCCAAGATAAAAATACATGGCTTAGATTAACTGCAGATTAGAATTGCAGAAGAAAATGTTTTTTAATCTAAAGACAGAAAACCTAGGCAAAATAAGGCACAATGAGAAAAGATATTTTAAAAAGATGAACAGAGATCCATTTAGCTATGAGAAAAATTCAGGGGCCCAATATGTGTGTAACTGGAGTGTGAGAAAAAGAGAGATGAGGACAGAAAGAATAATTGAAAAAATAATAGCCAACATGTCCCCAAATCTGATGAAAACTCGAGGTCTAAAGATTGAAGATGCTCATCAAACCACAAGTACAAAGAATATGAAATAAACCAAACCAAGTTTCATCACAAAACTAATCACTTAAAACTGTCATATACATCCAGGAGATCGAGGTCCTAATTAGAATAAGATATATTTTGTGCTCATATAGATTCTACTGTCACGTATAACTCAAAGGAACAAATGAAAATAAAATAAGAACAAAAAAACAGGATGAAGACAAAATTCTTTTTTTTTTTTTAAATTTTTTATTGTTGGTTGTTCAAAACATTACATAGTTCTTGATATATCATATTTCACAATTTGATTCCAGTGGGTTATGAGCTCCCATTTTTACCCCATATACAGATTGCAGAATCACATCAGTTACACATCCATTGATTTACATATTGCCATACTAGTGTCTGTTGTATTCTGCTGCCTTTCCTATCCTCTACTATCCCCCCTCCCCTCCCCTCCCCTCCCCTCCCCTCTTCTCTCTCTGCTCCCTCTACTGACATTCGTTTGTCCCCCTTATATTATTTTTCCCCTTCCCCTCACTTCCTCTTGTATGTACTTTTGTATAACTCTGAGGGTCTCCTTCCATTTCCATGCATTTTCCCTTCTCTCTCCCTTTCCCTCCCACCTCTCATCCCTGTTTAATGTTAATCTTCTTCTCATGCTCTTCGACCCTACTCTGTTCTTAGTTACTCTCCTTATATCAAAGAAGACATTTGGCATTTGTTTTTTAGGGATTGGCTAGCTTCACTTAGCATAATCTGCTCTAATGCCATCCATTTCCCTGTAAATTCTATGATTTTGTCATTTTTTAATGCAGAGTAATACTCCATTGTGTATAAATGCCACATTTTTTTTTATCCATTCATCCATTGAAGGGCATCTAGGTTGGTTCCACAGTCTAGCTATTGTGAATTGTGCTGCTATGAACATCGATGTAGCAGTGTCCCTGTAGCATGCTCTTTTTAGGTCTTTAGGGAATAGACCGAGAAGGGGAATAGCTGGGTCAAATGGTGGCTCCATTCCCAGCTTTCCAAGAAATCTCCATACTGCTTTCCAAATTGGCTGCACCAATTTGCAGTCCCACCAGCAATGTACAAGTGTACCCTTTTCCCCACATCCTCGCCAGCACTTGTTGTTGTTTGACTTCATAATGGCTGCCAATCTAACTGGAGTGCGATGGTATCTTAGGGTGGTTTTGATTTGCATTTCTCTGACTGCTAGAGATGGTGAGCATTTTTTCATGTACTTGTTGATTGATTGTATGTCCTCCTCTGAGAAGTGTCTGTTCAGGTCCTTGGCCCATTTGTTGATTGGGTTGTTTGTTCTCTTATTGTCTAATTTTTTGAGTTCTTTGTATACTCTGGATATTAGGGCTCTATCTGAAGTGTGAGGAGTAAAGATTTGTTCACAGGATGTAGGCTCTCTATTTACCTCTCTTATTGTATCTTTTGCTGAGAAAAAACTTTTTAGTTTGAGTAAGTCCCATTTGTTGATTCTAGTTATTAACTTTTGTGCTATGGGTGTCCTATTGAGGAATTTGGA